CAAAGTGTCCAAGAGAGAACATATCTCCCAAGTTTTACGAGCCTTACACTGATTGCCCATACGAGCCAGAGTAGAGTCTAAAATCCTGAGTCTAGCCCACCAGTGCTATCATGAAACTGCTCCCGACTACATCAATGAGTTGGTGACCAAACATGTTCCTCACGATCAGCTGATCAACATTTATTGGCCATCGCAAGACGTAAACTAAAAGCCTTTGATTTCCGCTCTTTAAGTTATGAAGCACCAACACCGTGGAACCAGCTGCCACTCGAACTCAGACTAACAACATCCCTTGATTAATTCAAATGTGCCTTAAAAACATTTGTCTTCAGAAAAGACTACAGCAATTAACAAACACATACTCAAACGTTACAACCATTTTATGTCCAAATATTTCATGTCTTGTAGCACTCAAATCACTTTTATATGTAGCGCTTTGAACATACGCTTTTGTATGGAATCCAGGGCGGTATAAATGCACACATTAGTATTATTATGTTTTACAGATTAAAGATAGTATGCAGCAGAGAGGGTTCGGGTGATCCTGGCACAGTCAGGCTGGTAAGGCTCATCATCAGCTCAGGGCCCTTGTCCCCTCTACACGCAGCCCAGACAGCGAATGGGACTTCTCTCAGGAAGCACTGCCTAGTTGAAGCCACCAAGAACTTGCCGGAAACTATGAAGACTCCCCAACACTGCAGCCTTCTGCATTACCCAGAGTGTCAGAAGGACTGTGCTCCCGGTGGAGAACCCGGGCACTTTCCTGATCTGCGCCAAGAGATCAGGAGGCAGCAAACCAAGGGCACCGAGAACAATGGGCGAGGTCCGCATATTTAGCATGCTTTTCGTCAATCTTGCCAATCACGTTGCTGTCAAAAGGGCAGAAAATTCAATGATATAAATAAATTCATTTGCTTTATCAAAGAGGGCAAGATCAGGTTTGTTGGCTGGAACTCTTCTGAGGCTGTATATAGGCTTATTATGTTTGAAAGCATCATTTTCCATGACGCCCTGGACATGTTCAGGGTCGTCAAAGCCACAGGCATGGCGGAGACGGTAGTAAAAGCAACGAGCCATGCCATCATGTCGTTTAAGATATGCTGTTTGTGCCAAGGAAGGGCATCCACTGACAAGGTGTTAGACAGACTCTGTAAATTCATTACACAGTCAGCATTTCATGTTAATATTTTCTTTAAGAATCACATTAAGGCGATTGCGAGTGGGAAGTGACTGGTCTTCAGCAGCAAAAAGGAAGCCCTCAGTTTCACACTTAAGACCAGCCGACTTCATCCAGGCGAAGGAGTCGGTTGGATTGCTATTCTGTTCCACACACTGCATGTACACACGATGCAATGGTTTCTCAGAAAGCCTCTCCACAAATGACCGACTCTGTGCAGACTTGGCGAAGGCCTTTCCCTGGTTTACTTCTGGTTTACTTTCCATCCAGCAGTACAGGGGCGGTGGGGTAGCCTAGTGGTTAAAGCGTTTGCCCGTCACGCCGAAGACCCGGGTTCGAATCCCCAACTGGCTACAATGTGTGAAGCCCATTTCTGGTGCCCCCCGCCGTGATGTTGCTGGAATATTGCTAAAACTCAGTCAGTCAGTCAGTCCAACAGTACATTGCCATCAACAAAATCAACCTCAAATTTCAGATTCTGTCCAAAAGCCTTGGTCTTGACATCATGAGTCTTGACATGCATCACCAGAGGATCACCCGACAAATAAATATGCACAAAAGTACACAATAAAATTCTATCATAAAGAGTCTCCACATTAATCAAACCCCGACCTCCCGAACTGATTGGCATAAATTAACAATTTAGACAGGAACGAGGGTGGTGGCCTGTCATCAGACATGATCCTTCTGGTCAGGCGGTCAAGACTCTTGTCTTGTTTTGTCCAATCAACTACCCCACAAGAAGAGGAAAGGACGGGCACAGCAAAGGTATTGGTGGCTTTGACTTTGTTTCGAGCATTCAGCTCTGAGCTCCAGAGTTTCTTTAAGCGAGATTTATACACAGCCCAACGTTTTCTTGAATTTAGTGCATTTTGAGCTTGTACCGAACTTGCATTCCAAGATAGGTGTAGGCCGGATCTTACACAAGATACTCAATAACTCCTCCCCCTTGTAACCTGACTGATCTATCATCAATTACCTCGCCACGTTTCAAATGAAGAGTATTACATTTGTCGACTCCAAATGTCATGCCAATATCATTAGAAAAGGAGAACCTGTTCTTTCAGATTGGTATCTCCTTTGGAAAGGAGCTCGATGTCATCCATGTAAAGGAGATGAGTAAGCGGTGTTGGGGATCTGTGCTGACGAGGTCCGGGATGGTAACCCTCCTCTTTATTGAGCAGAACGCTCAAAGGATTTAAAGACAAATAAAAAAGCAAATGACTGAAGGAGTCCCCCTGGAATATTTCCCTTCTGATTGGAATAGAGTCCTGAAGTCTGCACCTGCCCTTGCGAGTACATCTCAAGTTGAGTCGACCAGCAACTCATTAAAGACTTGAGTAAATCAAGTAGTCGCTCAGGGAGGTCAATACAACGCAGAGACTTCAGAACCCATTCATGAGGGACAGAGTCGTATGCTCTTTTGTAGTCAATCCAGCACATAGAGAGGTTGGGGTGTTATGTTTTCGCCTCTTCTAAGATCATTATTTGTACAAGAAGTTGATCCTTGCACCCCCAACATCCCTTTCTTGCTCCCTTCTGCTCTCTGTAAAGTATATCATTAGCAGAGCAGTATGATGACACGAGGTTTGTCAAACACCCTGTGAATAATTTGTATTGTGTATTCAAACATGTGATAGGGCGGACGTTTGGGGGATCAGTCAAGTCTCCTTTTTTGGGAAGGGGTATTGTGCGACCTTTGCAGAACACATTGCTTTGTTCAAACATCCGCAATGTCAGTTGAGAAATCAATGAGACGAATCAATTTTACAGACTCATGGTTTACTGGATAGAAGGGGTATATCATAAAGACTCAGTACCAGTTTATGTTCGAGTAGATCAGTTAAATAGCTTATGTCCTTATTACTCCAAGCAAACACTGTGCTGTGCTATTCAGTTGATCCAAAAGAACGAGGGATTATCTAATTAGGGGAGTTTGGGGTAATTAGGACTGACCGGACTGATCTATTATTACTTGAGGGGTGAGCCTTCTCCACCCTAACGTGTCTGGGGTATTTGACAAATAGGGTATCATCACGACAAAGCAACGATAGTGAAATTTTAGACACCATAATCGCAGATCACAGGGTCGTCAGGCATCTATTTCAAGTTACCAAACATCGGCAGACAGTCACTACTTTCTTTAGGCTATTTATTCAAATTTGACAAAACAAATATCACGAGAGAGAGTCACAACTCAACCCAGCCACCTAACTTGTTTTGAGAAGCATTTATGACAAATTGCAAACAGGGACAGGTTAATGTCCGTTATGACTGCTGCTTTTAAACTAACACCAATATGAATATTGATGTTGACATCTAGTTCACGTTTCCTGTTTAAATGAAGTAATAATTCTGAAAGCAAGCTCCGTCTTGCCAGCAGGGAGGCAAAGACTCAATCTAGGGAGAAAATAACGCACCTCTAAGATACGTTGATGGATACATTGGATATGTATTATCAGTTTATTTCATCCCTAAAATAACAAGTTGCCAGTATTGTACCCTGTGTACTTGCGTATATCATCTTCAAAATGTTGATACGTAATCTGATGGATGATGATAAAGTAGATGTACTTGGACTTGTGTCTCCCACTTTGGGAGAATATTAAGTTATTTACACATTATTTAAATGGTTGAATCTAATACAATGTCGGGCTTGTTCACTCCAATATTACCAATGTACAACATGTATTACCCCTGCAGTCCACCGATTGTACTGTTACTATACATCACACAATATAACACAAACTCATTGGGAACCCGAGAAGATCCACGTTAGAATTGATCTTCTGCAACCCATGCTTGTCGTAAAGGGCGACTAACGGATCGGGTGGTCAGGCTCGCAAGCCATCGATGTTCATGCCGTTGATCACTGGATGGTCTGGTCCAGACACAATTATTTACAGGCCGCCACTATATAGCTGGAATATTGCTGAGAGTAGCGTAAAACTAAACTCACTCACTCAGAAAGTCAATCGGATATTGGGTAATATGTCCAATGTTAGAGTATTATGAAATCGATACCCTTGAAGTTTTGTCACATTCTATAGAACACACAACTACTCGTGTGTAGTGTCTGATATACAATGAACCTGCAGATGAAGCGGATCCCTATACTTCTTGTGTACAATTGTATGTAGCAGCTTAGAATGATACCAACAACATATATGCTTACTAAATGAGTTGATTTCAAAGTGGTTTAGGGTCTTGACAGTAGTTGTGATAATGTATGTCTGATTCTCCCAGTATGGTGTACCCATGATAATGACAGCGTTACTTCTTTGACAACTACAATAGAGAGATCTGAAAGTAACAAATAATTAGGTTGAAACATGTCCCTAAAACAAAACATCACTACACGTTACTTGTTCCCTTAGTTTACACTAAAATATGATATCAACATTATACCCTGGATACTCTTGCTAGTCGCGAGTTGGATTACCGTTGCGGATTATTACCCTCACCGTGTTGAATGGAAATAATGTTCCGGAAAATACAAATTTGCAGATAACATTTTCTGTGGTTAATTAATGTCAGATAAATCTTGATCAGCAACGAAACAATAATATTTAAAATATAAATCAGGAATCAGTCCATGAAAATCATTATCTCAGACTGATCTGTTCATGTTCTTCCAAGTCCCTTCCAGTCAAATGACTTCTGGTTGTGATGAAAAGTGACATTGACACCTGTTTTGTGGCGGTGATATTCATTGTGTACCAATATTCCAAGTGTAATACACTGTACATGTGATACCCAGTGCGGTTCAGTGGTGTGCTATATTTAGACAGAGTTCCGGAAGATACTGCAGAATACTACCAGCCTATCGGTTATCCTGATCGAGGATTTTGGAGAATCTTCTGGAGTCCTTGTAATAGGTACATAAGGGGAATTAATTGTTACATCTAAAATTACTTCTCAAGTTACCAAAAGACCAGTATTGTGTATGATGACCATCATAACCTGGATACTCTGCCTAGTCGCAAGTTGGATTACTGTTCCGGACTATTACCCTCACCGTCGTTATTGGAATAACAGTTCTTGTATTCTGTTACCTTTGTATTTGCATTGCCCATCTACTTTGCGTACTGCCATAGTGTCACGCTGATACTGATTTGTATCGATTGTAAACTTAGTCAGCTTAAGAATACAATTTAAATTACGTCACATATCTTTGACGTTTGTTGATTCCACACCTAGGTCTTTTATGGACTGATTCCTGGTTTCAAGTTCCAACACATATCCGTTCGAACGCAGTTGAAAATTGACAACGCTTCTTGGTTTGCGTGACTGCAGTTATAACCAAACAAACCACAATGGTTCGTTAGGGGTGGCAGTGTAAAACCAACACATGATTGAACTATTGTTTCATCCAATGATTTCAATAAAGCATTTCTCAGTTCTCCAAAAGAACTAACAAGCATAATATTATTTGTTTTGGTTTAGATTTGTCTAGTCACACTTTTGTTGCCGTTGTCAAGCAGGAATGGCGGCGGAAAAAAAATCTATCACTCTCACTAGATAAAGAAGTTGCGTATATTGTACTTCCCACCTTTTAAAATGCCAATCGAAGAAGTTAGCAAAACTAAATATGTTAGCAACAGAGAACCTTCCCCCAGAAACATCTATGACATATTGCACTCAGAACATACCACAGCCCCTTGCTGCCTGTCACAATCACAGGTCATTTGTGAGGATATGCTGCAACTATTGCCATAACAGAACCTGTCATTTATTCAGAATGGTACGTTATTTATCAGCTTACCGTTTTGGAGGATCAATCTGTAAATCCAATGGACGAATCACTGGTACAACTCTACGTTTGTTCACTCCCCGTATTGAGATTTGCTTGGCTGTCAAGTACACTGTCACTTTGTTAGCAACATCGACTCTCTTCTTCTTGTAAACAGAGAAGGATGGGAACATCATTGAAACAATGTTTCTTGTCGTCGAGTGAAACAATGTATCATTGTGTAGGTTTCAATTCAGAAAGGGTAGATTCGGGAACATGCTTAACGCACAACTCCATCTGCAATATAACAGTTGTAAATCCTAAAGGTCATTTAGGTATCAACATTTTCGAAGCTCGTTTCTTGTGTAATCCTGACCCTAACAGCATGTCAAGTGAAAACATGAGAGAATATGTGAACAAACCTGCGAATTAACATTGAAGTGGTGATGTGACGACATTTCTGTAAAACAACGCACATGTACTGCCTATCGGCGCGCTTGTATTCACTCACAGACATTAAGTTCCCTACAGTGAACGGACTCGACTCTCTTGTCCACTACCATCAGAAGTACACACAGTCTACGTACCACGTGGTCTCGAGGTTTCTTTGTCAGTGGTTAAGCACAGATTACTGAAAAACTTCGCTGTCTCCTTCACGAGGCAATCAGACTTTGTAAGGTAACGAACAGTGTTGACACCTTGCCATTTTAGGTTTCTAATAGACGAAAGCCTTTTGTGGTCAGTGTTGACGTAAGCAATATATCCACCCGTGGTCATCACAACCAGCGTCGCACCGCGTATTCGGGGCACAAGCCTTGTCGGTTTTCTTTGAACTGTCGGAAACAAAGGCATAATTTACTTTACTGTCTCTCAGTACATGAATCATAATATTTAGCCTTCTGTCTTGCCCTGTCTGTAATTATAAAAAGCCGAAAATGTAGATTCAAAAAGTCTACCACCAGTTCCCCTTGGCTTCGTTTCGATTCAAACACTAAAGAGTTATTTGGTTTGTGATCAAAATTATATGCTTTCAGAGATTAAGCGTTTGTCTCCTTTTGTGGTTGTGTGGTCTGTTGTACCAAAATAGAATAAACATTTGGGTATGACTGATTTTGTTAGCAACCAATGTAAGTATAGTAGAGTACAGTACTGGCACTGGCACTGAAGGATGAGATGTCCATGACGATAAACATTTACATGCAGTAGAGAAATGTAACATACCCGTCTTCTCTAGATTGTTGAACTTCCAGCTGGCCTTTATTAAAGGATGAGGTACATTCATGTTTTTATCAGACTTAGTGTCCACGGTTTTGGAGTGATCAGGTGTTTGTATTTTTGTGGTTCTTCCCCTCGAAATATCAGACGATCGTCGAACTTTGACAGGACGGCGCACATTGTTGTTGTTGTTGATGTTGTTGCTGTTGTTGCTTTTGTTGTGATGAGACTCACTAGTCCCGGGCTTGGACTTTTCGAAGGGTTGTTTATTCCTCTTTGGAAAGTAATCGTTAATGTCCTTATCTAGTTTCTGGTCACCAGTCTGTAAGAGAATGTCATATGCAACATATTGAATGGTAGAACTATATACATACATAGAGGATATTATATGAGTGCCCATGTCATACTATGTTTACGACACGAGTGCCTAAATATTGGTGTTTCCCGAGCGGGAGTGAGGGGTATTTAAATACGTAAACATGGTATGATATTGGCACGAATATAATATTCTGTTTATTACCGAAGTCGTCAAATTGAGGAAAATAAACCCAACTCTACTTGAAAACATAGGCTGGCTACCCGCCGTCGCCGCATGTAGAACGCAACGTCACAGACAAAACGTGACGTTATAGCATTGTTCATGACGTCACGTCACCATGACAAAGCGATATTTTGCCCTAACCCCCTGAATGCCGAGGTTTTTTCAGGCGCGCATTTTTATATGGTTTGAAAAGTGAGCATTGTGCGAGAATTGCGCTCGCGTGGTCCTGGATCTACGTACTGCTATAAAATTACACAGAAATGTAGAACATTAAATTGTTTGTTTATGATTATGTAGCTATTTCTCTTCATAAGTATGCAATGAAAGATGCAAAGAGATAGTTTTTATATATGGAACTATATATTAGAATATGGATGTAAGATTTGTCCAAATTAAGACATGACATGGTTAATACAATGTATATTTTTAAACACGTTTTGTATAAATATAGTTAGAGTTTGATATACTGTCATCACAACATTATTTATTCGAATATGAATTGATTATATTATCGAAAACAATGATAGTGAATCAAAAAACGTTTCCGACAAACGCGCACCTGGCCAATCAATATACATAACTGTTTTGTCTATAAAACGACACAAAAATATGCAATGAACAAGACAATTCCTTTAAATATGTGTGCATATATGTCAAAACATATATAAATCATTTTCATTAATATTATCAGTTTTACTTATAAGGTTGAATTAAATCGCCGTTCATTTACCTGTTCATATGAGACTGCAATATTATTCCAAATGCATTTACTATTGTACATCATAGGAACTAAAGTACATGTTGCAGTTATGGCTACGTTTGATCTTCTAACACTTGTGTGAAGGTTTAGAATATAGTGTACTGCACTAAATGTGTCAATTTCTTATGTAAATATTATTCAAACAATCAAAAACTTTCAAAGAATAAAACACCGTAAACCCTTTATCCACGTATAATATGATATTGAACAAGGCTAAAAGTAGATACTGAAGTCAGTTTCATGAAAAAATATCTAACTACACGCAACATATAAATCATAATACTAACAGTGTAATCGGAAGGATTGGGGATTCAGCACTTGAGCTTTGTCTAAAATAATAGTGGATGGTAGCAAGAAACAAGAAATCTCCCGCAGAATTCGAAACTGAAAAGTGTATCTGTGTGCGTGGGATATTTTGATTTTTATTGGACTTCAAAGTGAGGGTTGAAGGGGAAGGACATATATGTCCCTGTGGCATCAAGGGGGCTAGGGCATCGTATGACAATATGAACCCCGATACTTTGGCCCTCGTAGGTAATAAAAAGTTATTAATTATGAAGGGTCATAACCATTGACATTTTATATCATTAATGACATGGCTAGCTTGACAGTGAAACAGGGACATCTGACTGAGGGTTGCATTAGTCATGGAACCATGATGACCACAGATGATTGGACAAGTCGCCCTTCCGTCCATTGCGTCATTTACCATAGAAAGTCAAACTCAATACTACCACTTCTATTCTCAAGACTATCCCGGGCGAGGCAAGCTCATATTTCAGACGTCCAGTGTCATCTTGGTTCATTCCATCCTATTCGTCTTGCAGGTTCGTTTAGCGTGTTCGGTGGTTGTAGGCGCCGTGCATGGATAGCCCAGACGGGTGACAAGTCTTAGTGCTTACTGTGGTAGGGCTGTTATGTTCTCCTGTTGGGGTACTTAGTATACAATACGAGCCCTGTGTGCGCTGTCATCCTGAAACACAAAATATGGCGCACACATGGCACAACATGTTCTTCCAGGATTTACCAAAAAAGCATTAACGTTTTCCTCTACGACGACTGGGCCAGCCGTTGTGGCAACAAATGCAGTAATGTGACGACCTGTTAGTCGTTCGTTAAAGGTCACATGCAACGTAAAACACAACTTTGCAGATTCTGATACCTTTCGGTATGGACTGAAACAAATCGTCAAAAATGCAAATTCAACTTATAAAGTTGAGAAATAACGCGATGAAAAAAATCGGAAATCGGAGTTCAAACGTTTCACTAACTTTCCCCCGACTTTTCGGGGGAAAACTGGTTTCAACAGCTGGGCTGCGCTCATAGCACATGCGCAGTGAAATAGGTTCGCGCAGCTTGGAAGCGGGTTGTCCGGTGAATACTCGGTGAAGGCTTTGGTGTGAGCTATTTTTCTAATGTTTTGTTGATATCTCACAGGCCCGAGCTTTTTATATGTTATGACAGTAAATTAACTGTTTATATAATTTCATTTGTCTATTTCCCCACACGTTCTTCTTACCGAGTCACTTTCTCAGTTCGATACTTAAAGGCAATGTCATTATTTAGCGTTGACAGAATTTCTAACTG